TGGCTCAAAGAGAGACTGCTCATCACTGTCTTCATCTTCATCAAAACGCTGAGGAGTTTTGCGTTCTGTGAGGGCATCGATACCTTTCATAGACTTTTCCTCCGAATTTTCAAACGCTTGAGATGGTATTGACTCGCCTTCCTCTGTTTCAGTTTCGTCATCTTCATCAACTTCTTCCATCTTCTCTTCCATTTCCTCTTTGTTAAGCCCAAGAATTTCGTCAATTACATTCTCCTCTTCCTCACTCACTTCTGCAGCAACATTTATCGCATTTTCATCTATAATAGGAAGGCCAATTTCGCCCACAGTGAGATTCTGCTTCGCAGCTACTCCGCCACCAATAGACGGGATTTTAACTGAGGCTCCAGCTCCTGCTTGTTCACGATCACCTCCTCTTTCTCTGGAGTTGACATAGTCGTCTGTAATTGGCAGTTTTGACACCATCGACTCCGTTTCAGCCTCATCGTAATTGATTTCTTCGAGGTCACTGGTGGCTTGTTCTTGCTCCACTTCTTGCTGCTGCTGGCCTTCCTCGATAATCGTCGCTGGTTCTAGCAGTTTCGTTGCAGAAGAGGCACCTAAAGTGCAATAAAATTTTCAAGAGAGTATTAATGATGAGAATACTCTTATGACATACATAATTTATATAACCCTATATAACTCAACTACAATTTCTACTTAAATTTTCTTCAAAATCATTTGAGTGCATGAACGACTAAATCCCTTTTTAGTAGCGCTATTAATCGATGCGAGTGTGTGGTCGTCAGCTATCACAACTTTATAAGCTCGGAAAAGTTCTCCGCACCTACTTTCGTATTTTGCAAAATTTTCACAGTTGTTCTGAAACTTTCTCAAAACATATCTGGAGAAGGAACATCAGCTATTAATAAATAGTTGTTAGAGCACTTTGCTACGATAGCTAAAAAAATCGTTTATGACTGAATCGGCTGATAATGCTTTAAGGATTCAAAAAGGAAAGCAATGTAAGCGATGTCGAGAAAGAACTTATGCTATGGCTCCTCAAATATCTCCTACGACAAAGCAAACTACTGAATCTAACTCGAAAAATCAAACAAAATTTAAGTAATGAAGAAAAGGGAAAAAACGGTGCAGAATGGTTTCTACACAGGGGCATCCACAGCACACCCCTCAGTGCGAAAACATCCTTAAAGCTTCACAAATTAACCTTAACTTATTGTTGAGATCAGACTGACTCAATCCCTTCTAACTTATAATCACTTAAACATAGGTTTGAAAAGATAATCTCAGCGAATGACCAGTCAGCTAAAGTCGAAGTTGAAAACAATCTATCGAGGGGTGACTTGCACGTTTTCCATTAAAAATTTCCTCATAACAACAGTCTATCCACTGATTCAAAGGGTGATTCCGTTCCCTCATCTTCTTGACAAACGTAAATGATTAGACTAATAGTATCATTGATCTAAGTAAATTACAAATAGGCTATAATGCCTCCTTATCTAGAAATTACTACATTCAACAAATCTGACAAAAGGTGTTCGTCTTTTGAAGACTGCGTCGAGCAGCTAATCAGTTAGTGGATGTCGTTAGCAGCAACTGTCCTTTATGAGATAATGTTTCTAATTAGACGGAGGAGATTTGGCCAAGTTTTTGAGTAAATGGGACGAAGAGGGCTTTAACGGTTAATGGGATTAGGTCGAGGTAAAGCGAGGACTGAGTTAAAAGAAAATGCCGAGGTTTTGGACAGATGAAGGGGGATTTGCTAATAGTTTGCAAAGGCCAATTTGAAGAAAGGTTTGTCTGTCAAGAGTAGTCTGTAAGATCTTGATAGAAGTATTTAAGAAAGAAACGTGAAAATTGAATTTATCTTTATCAAGGAAAAAACCTTCAGAATAAATCTGTTTGATGATAATTATTGCATAATTGTTACTATCGACAAGAATACGAAGGAAATCC